TTATTATTATTATTATTATTATTATTATTATTATTATTATTATTATTATTATTATAGGATCAGGTTGTACACCGCAGCAGGCTTTATAGGCTTTATTACTATATAGATCGGGGTTGCCCGCCTACAACAATGGGATCGGACTGCACGCCGCAGTAGGCCATATCAGCTTTATATAGTGCTTGGGATGAAGGAACCCCTCCAGAGTCTGCACACACCCCTAATGAGTGCGGTTGATTTATAGCGCTTGGGTTGATGGAGCCCCTCCGGAGTCTGCACACACCTCTAGTGAGCGCAGTTGATTTATATTGAGGGATGGATCTTCCGTTGGTATGGATCTTGCCCGAAGCATTTATATTAAGGGATGGATCTTCCCTGGGCATGGATCTTGCCCGAAGCATTTATATTAAGGGATGGATATTAAGGGATGGATCTTCCCTTGGCATAGATCTTACCTGAAGCATTTATAGTGAGGGATGGATCTTCCCTGGGCATGGATCTTGCTTGAAGCATCTATATTGAGGGATGGATCTTCACTGGGCACGGATCTTGCCCGAAGCATTATATTAAGGGATGGATGTTTCCTGGATATGGATCTTGTCCGAATCATTAATATTTGGGGATGGAACTTCCCCTGGACTGGATTGACCTTATACAGTACTGAGTGACTGACTGTCAGTTGATGAATATACATATATATTTGGGATGGATATTCCCTACGCTGGATTGGCCATATACAGTACTGAGTAATTGAGTATTTTAGATTGTGAGTAAATGGAATTTTCACTAAGGTACATCACATACAGTATGTACATAGGCATGTAGATACAGAGATGTCATATTCCTCGTATTGTTCAGAATTGATCTGTTTTATTTGTACTGAAACCAACTGTTGAACTTGAAAGCATGCCTATATTTCTGTATTGTTATTATTTATACTGGACTGTACCTACAAAGCTCGCCACTACTTTCAGCCCAAAGGTTAGTCTTGTTACTTATTGACTTAGATGTACTCATATTACACTTTGCACCTCGTGTGCAGATTCGGGTACTTTCGGACACGACGACCGTTAGATCTCAGAGTTCTATCAGTTGGAGACTATTAAGATAGTTGCCTGGAGTCCACTTACCTTGACTCCCTTTCTTTCAGTTATTGTATTGTTCTATACTTTCAGACAGTGTTTTATCAATCAGACTTTGTATTCATATTAGATGCTCATGTACTCAGTGACACCGGGTTCTGGGAGTGTTTATATATGTAATTGTGAGATTTCTTCCGCTGAATTTAAATCTTATGTTTTCAAACTTAAAAGATATGGTATTTTATTAAGATTATCAGTTTACCTAGTATTGAGATAGGCGTCATCACGAGAGGTGAGATTTTGGGTCGTGACATGGTACTTTCTAATTCTGATTTGAATAAATCTAAACAACTTAAAATCATTTCCTGAAATTCAATATAGGTTGCTCTTGGTTCTCATTTCGTACATCATATCTTCTTAGTCATATGCATAAGTCATACAAACAAAACACATCGTTGGTAATGACCAATGTTTTTGACTCCTAGGTATTTTTTCCTTAGGCCCTTTTTCTGTCCAAAACTATATGCCCGCTGCATTTAAATTCTTAACCTATTACACTATAGGGTATGACATCTGAACTATCATCATCCAACATGTGGCTCAATTTTCAAGAATTAAAAATGAAATTGTTTCATGAGGTAAAACACACATGGATACACTACCATACTCAAACTTGTCCTTCAGAGTATACCATCATCTGATAAATCACTTCATGAATCATCCGGTGAGTCTTGGGCCTTAATCCAGACATAAAATATACGAAGATTTTGCTATTATCACTGTCACTCACATTTTCTTTTAGCACCCATAGGCATCACTGTATACTCACAAGTCGCCAAAATCTGGATACACTGAAAATTGGTGACCTGGTAACTGAATATTGGCATACTAAATAACCATAACCTGCTAACTGAAAGATGACATAACTGGTAACTGAGGTAAACCGATAACCATAAAATATGATAACTGATTTTGTACTTTCTAATAAGGTTATGCTCTAAATATTTTTTACTACTATCAATTGCATCCCACTTTCAACATCCTCTCGAATCTCATTCAACATGTACTCTATAAATATACCCCAATGGGCAATCATCCTCTCTAGAACCTTGGGTTTTTCCTGCGCGTTGCTTGGGCATCCAATACGTTTGGAATTCGATAGGAAGAGAAGGTTACCTATTGCTCTAAACTTCACGGGACGATCTAGAGTAGAAAGAAATAAGACAATCATGGATGTCTTGGTATTTAACCGTTTATATGAGTGGCCGGCACACACATATAAAGGAAACTCCACTAGATACAGCTTCATAGACTCTCTAGGACTCTTGAACCTAGTGGCTCTGATACCAAGCTTTGTCATGCCCGAACCTGAGCTTAGACGTAACACGGCACCCGCTGCCTGACTACATGTGACCGAGCGAACCAACTGGCTGGCTGAATCAACATGTGATATCATAACATACTGAATGCGGAAGATAAACTTCTAAACAAAAGCACAACTAGACTGTATATTATTTTTCTTTGTCCATAAAAACTGTATCCATATCTATAGGCTATAGCCCCTCACCATACCAAACGCCAAAGACTTTCATTTTTCTCTTCTTTTTTCATGCCGTAGCTATACTCGTCGTCCTATATATTATATATATATATAGACCCCTGGTCCATTTCCCATACCCATTTAACTTTAATCACATATATTTCTAATTGAGTTCACCACATATTTCCATACAAAAATATATAGATCACTGGCCATTACTTCAAAAAACTAGAAGAACAAAATATGAAGCTGTATATCAAAGAATTTTCTCTTCATGTTCTTCTTGTTTATATGATAATTATATTCTTGTTTTTCACGTACCAATCAAATGCTTCTATACAATCCTTCGTTTATGGTGGATGTTCACAACAGAAATACAATCCTGGTACAGTTTACGAGTCAAACGTTAACTCGCTCCTCACTTCACTAGTCAACTCAGCATCTTACGCAAATTTCAACAACTTCAAGATTTCTCTACCGGGTTCGAGTCAAAACGACATCGTTTATGGACTTTTTCAGTGCCGAGGCGACTTGGGAAACTCCGACTGCCGGAAATGCGTGGCTACGGCAGTGAGCCGAGTCGGGACGCTCTGCACCACCACGTGCGGCGGCGCGTTGCAGTTAGATGGGTGTTTCGTGAAATACGATAATGTTTCTTTTCTTGGTGTGGAAGACAAAGGTGTTGTCATGCACAAATGTGGACCGTCGATTATGGATGATAATGAAATGTTGACTAGAAACGATGCCGTTTTGACTTATTTAGGAGCTGTGCCACAAGGTCAATATTTTAGAGTTGGCGGGTCTGGGAAAATTCAGGCTGTGGCTCAGTGTACGCAAGATTTGAGTGTGAGTGAGTGTGAAGATTGCTTAACGGAGGCGATCAGACAGCTGAAAAGTGAGTGTGGGTCCTCACCTTGGGGAGATATGTTTTTGACCAAATGCTACGCGCGATTCTCGGAGCGTGGATTCACCTCTAAAAGCGGTAAGCTTCTCCGCCACCATGACTGGTGGCGGTGGTGCATAGTTTTTAGCTTTCTGTTTATTTGGTCCATGTTAGTTAAAATTTGAAATTATAAAATCCTAAGTGATTTATTGGTTCTTTTCTTCTTCTTTTTTTTTTTCACTTCTCTGCGGTAATTGATAAATTTAAGTTGCGCCAAGTTTTCATGAATTGTTAGGAGAATTGTTAAATTGCTTTTAAGTCCATGTAGTCTAATTAAATTTTATTTTTCTTTAGCGAAATGTATTGGCAATCCGTTAAATTTGTCTGCATATTTAATTTAATCACTCGAATTAAGGCATATTTCAATTTGAACAACGGTATACATAATAATATGTTCATACTAGACACTTGTCGGGGGAAATTTTGGAAAAATGGCTCTTGATTTTCTTCTTTTATTTAAGTTGATGGTAGTTGAAATTGAAAATGAGGATGGATGTTAGATTAATTTATTCTTTTTAAGTAAATATTGTAAAATATTAAGTTAAGGTTTGATGTTTGGATTTGACAAAAAATTTTAAGTATTGACACAGCGATTATTTCTTGGTTATTCCGCCGTTATCGGGAGGGACAAATGTTTCCTTTTTATTTTCTTTTTTTGGATGAGTTATTATGATAGGTGTAAGGTGATTAATCCAACTCTAATTTAATTAATTTTCGTAACTAATTAATCAAAAATATAGGTGAGGTGGGGAGAAAGTCTTTTTCTGTATGTCCTTTTTGCTTTATTTGCATTATACTCGCACAAGTTTCAAATTTTGTAAAAGTGAAGAAAAAGTATGTTTTACTATTCTTGCTTTCTTCCTTTTATCAAAGATCAACAAACATCATAATGGTAAGAGCTTTTTCTCATGGTTTGAGGAAGTGCCTCAATCCTTCTTCTTGATCATGATTACCACCCAAAAAGAATGAACATAAAATAATTAATGTTTTCATCTCATTATAATTTGATTGTAAAGCTTTTTTTACAAGTTGATCACTTCCACCTTTAATTGTGGATATCATTAGGTAATTAACCTTGGTGATTCGTACGCTAAGCATAAATTAATTGCATAATCACTTGATCATAGCTTAAGGGTTAGATATCATTCGAAAAAATAATCACCTGTTACATGTTAATCATCAATGTAAACGTCACCCCCTTTGTTCTAAAAAGGATGATATTTTTCGAATTTCGAAACTCAAACTTCTTAATTTTGACTATAAATTCGGACATAGAATCTTGAAGTCTCTTTTAAAATAAATTTATGAAAACTATATAAAAGTACTATAAGTTACAATAATTAATAATTCAAAATATTTAAAAGGCATATGAAAAAATTACAGAATAACTTATTTGACTCAAAAATTAAAAAGTATTATCTTTTTGAAACTGTGCGAGTACGTTATTTCTAGGAAAGATTCAAGCAGTCCATGCATATGGCCTTTTGTTATTTTCCAAATGCAAGAGAACTTGCAGGAAGTTTAGTCTTATAAGTAATGACAAAGAAAAAGTGGTCACTCTTGCATATATTGAGAAATTTCACTTGGAAAGGAAAATTCCATGCCACCCATATATTCAAGTTTTGGTTCTAGTAGTGTACGAGGACAAGAGTGGGTTGCTTTAGTGGTAAGCACCCTCCGCTTCCAATCAAGAGTTTGTGAGTTCGAGTCACCCCAAGAGCAAGTTGGGGAATTCTTGGAGGGAGGGAGTCGAGGGTCTATCGGAAACAACCTCTCTATCTCAGGGTAGGGGTAAGGTCTGCATACACACTACCCTCCCAAGACCTCACTAGTGGGATTATACTGGGTTGTTGTTGTTGTTCTAGTAGTGTACGAGAATGGTCACACTTCTAACATATGCGAGTAGGAGAAGTTAGAACAAATTCAAAGTATATGAATGATGACTAGATTCTAAAATGGAAATAAAAGTTGATATAATATGCCAGGGTGATACCCCTTTAAAAAAAGGTAAGTTGATAAAATATGAGATTTCTATCAATTTAAACTACATTCAAACCTCTGCTATAGTAGCACCATTCGTATTTATACGTTTTAGTTGCTATAGCAAAATATTAATATAGAGAATATAAAATATAATATAACGTGAAAATTTTATTTTCAAAAAAACTTGATCGTGTATAGTAAAATATTGTTATCGAGAATGAATATTACAGAGAGGCTTGATTATATTAGTTTTTAACATACTTGGTTCTAACAAAGTTTAAGAAGTACAAAGGTATAATATAAGTGAATCTTCTTGAAGTTCTGCTAATTAATCTGTCAAGCGGCCAAATTTTATCACAACGGCAATTAAATCTTGATGCTATTAGATATCATTTTGTTGTTATAAACTTACTTTAAATTTAATAAGTTGCTGATCAGTTTTATTTGACAATATATATATAGAGAGAGAGTACTTACCTAAGTTTAGCCCTATATACAATTTCAGGAGATGAAGATGTTGAAAAGACACTTGCAATTACAATTGGGCTTATAGCTGGTGTTGCTGTCCTCATCGTTTTCCTTTCGGTTCTAAATAAGTTTTGTGAAAAGAAAGGTTAGTCTCTTCTTTTTGCCTTGATCGTGCTCATCCACCTTTATACTTCATATACCACTTGTTAAAGGTGCAATGAATAAATATAACGGCTTTTGCAGTCTAAGCAAGTTGAGGTTAGATATATAAATTATCATTGTCTTATGTCATTTGATTAAAATTGTCTCAGTCCAATTTTATAATTGAAGACTTCGCACACATATCCCTACTAATTATTTTTGTAATGCTAAGTTCGCATATTTATACTCCTTAATAGAAAAAAAGTTTGTCCAATTCAAAGCAATCAATTAGGACTAGTGCCATCCGCTCTTCTTCCTACTATTGAAAGTGGAAGTTCAAGCTTTGAAACTCATTTTCCAGCAAACTTAGTATAGATTTTTTTTTTTATGGCACATGTGCAATGAGTCTATAAACTTAATAATTGATCCTCTTTACTTTGACATTTGCAGGTGGTAAATAAATAAGGCACATCTTGTGCATGTGGATAGAACTTCTTCTCCCTTGCTTCTTACTTGGGTAAATTGCTTTCTTTTGGTGCTCTTTAGCTTTTGTATATTCTCTTACCCTAAACCATGTTTTTTTTCAAGTTTCCTTCCTATATCCAAAAAACAAGACTCAAAAGGTTGGCTAAAAGGTGATTGAAAGGAAACAGGAGCCTAATAGCAATAATAGCAGCTATAATGCATGTAACAATTGGCCTCTATACTTTTGTTAAAGTGCTCATCACTTTCTGCTGAAGATAAGTCTTGCATTAGGGCACTTTTTGTTTGTGAAGGATATGCAATTTGTTAAGCCCCCTTTTTCATGTAAGGAACACTTTATATTCAATTATAAAGTTATAATGCAGAAAGTTCAATTGCTATATAGGTAAAGTTGTCTCCCCGTGATCCTATAGATCACAGGTTCGGATCACGGGTTTCAGCTGTAAAAGTAGCCACGAATGCTTACATTAGGATAGGCGGTCTATATCACATCCTTTGTCCTACCCCGCGTGACGTGGGATACTTTGTGCGCCGAGATGTCCTTTTAACGGAAAGTTCAATTGCTATTTTAAAATCTTTAATTTTTTTGTTCCAAAATAATTTTTTACTTGATTGCACTAAATTAAACTGTAAATCACGTCAGCTATATTTCTCTTTTGTTGTGTTATGTCCTTAAAAAAGTGGAACAAATAAAAGTGATATGACATGCCATGATTTTCTTGAACATCTATTCTTATGAGATACTTCAGCTATAAGTGAGTAATTGAGTTGGTCAAATTTATGCCATGAAAAATAATTGAGTGATATCTTCCTAGTAACTTAATTTCACATGAATATTGATCACTACGACAATGATTTGAGGCAATATTCCGTCTACTTTTAGTTGCATTTCGACATGTAAAGTTAATCTTATTATTATACATGGAAGGACAATCAAATGGATATTGATGTTTTAATGATAAAGATAATAATAGAAGTGAGGAATACTTATCAGTTATTAAAATGCAATATCATAGCTGATGGTATATTTAAGTCCTGAGTCATAAGAATTAGGTAGGATGATATTTACAAATCGATTGGATTTTATTAATGATCCTATCTTTTGTTTAATTTTTTTTAATCCAACCGTGCTTAAAGTGTTCAAGTTTAATAATGCCCTGAGATGTATAATTGGGACCCATTAAATTGTGGATTATCACTTAATTTTTGTGATTAAAGGGGGCAGAATTAGAGCAAGAAGGTTGTATATATTCCTAAACAAAACCTGCGAAAGCATTGATATACCAAAAGGGAGACATTATTAAAGGGATGAAGATGTGACAAGTACTTTTTAAATAAAGAAAAAAATCTATTACATAGAGGATCGAAAAAAGGTGTAAGAAATTGATGAGTAATAGAAATCGAACGCCACATTTACTGGTACTACTATTTTATAAGTGTTGGTGGTATGTGGCACGTCACGTACTCTTACATGTGACAGGAGAAAAAAGTAGAAATTGTGTATAATAGTCATTTTTTAATATGATATTTAATTTTTATCTAGTACTTTTAATGTTAAGCAAAAAATAGCCACAACTCTATTAAAATTAATACGAAAAAATATTTTTACCTTTTTTTTATGAGTGTTGTTTAAATATTAAGGATATGGTGTACTTTACATTTACACTATACACATGAAGTTAAGGACGCAATGTCCTTAACATTTATACTACACATACGAAATTAAGGACATGATGTCCTAAAGTTTAACAACAGAAGGTGCAAATACATGACACTTTGTCTTTAATATTTACACGACATTCATGAAGTTAAGGACAACATTTTCTTAATATTTACACAACACTCATAAAGTTAAGGAAACTATGTCCATAACATTTACACTGCACATATGAAGTTAAGGACAACATTTTCTTAATATTTACACAACACTCATAAAGTTAAGGAAACTATGTCCATAACATTTACACTGCACATATGAAGTTAAGGACACCATGTCCTTAACATTTACACTGCACACATAAAGTTAAGGACGTCATGTCCTTAACATTTACACTGCACATATGAAGTTAAGGACATGATGTCCTAAAGTTTAACAACTGAAGGTGCAAATATATGACAATTTATTCTTAATATTTACACAACATTCATGAAGTTAAGGACACCATGTCCTTAATATTTAGACAACACTCATGTCTAGCACAGGGGTATTTTCGTCTGGACGGGTAAAAAATTATTAAGCACTGGCTAAAGAGTAAATATATTTTAAACAGTGGCTAAAGAGTAAAGACATCTCTAATTAGTGATTAACTGTGTACTTCCCCAAGAAAGAACTACAAATAATGTTAAATGGGCCAGAAGTTTGGGCTCATTTTATTGTAATGGTGGAAGCTATAGTTTCTAAATCTTGGGCCTCCTTTACACCATTATTTAGAAGAATTAACCCAAATAGCCGTCCATTCAATTGCTTAAATTAAAAATAGTTGGTGGATGTATAATATATGCATAATTTATGTATTATATGTGTATAATTATATATATTAAATATATAATCTATGTATATGGCTAGAAAAAATAAACAATAAATATGACTGGCTATTTGTGTAAAGATCCCCATTATTTGGGGGGAGGGGGGAAGAAATCAGAAATAGCCATATTTACAACCGATAATTGAAAAATAGCCACAATTTCAAAAGCAATCTAAATTGAGTCACTTTTCATGTAAAGATAAAATCTGAACAAAAATACCCTAAAAAATCCAGAATTATTCTAACATGATATGTTGGAGTTCGAATTTTTTACATATGAGCTTCCAGCATAATATGCTGAAATTTTATAATATGCTAGAGTTCCATCATAATATGCTGGAAGTTTATATGCAGGAGTTTCATAATCCCGCATATTATACTGGAACTTTCTGTGTGCTGGAAGTTTATACGCATGAGCTTCATAATCCAGCATATTATGTTGGAACTCTCCGCGTTTCAGCAAAACAGTGATTATTTTACAATGACTTCGCAAACACTGGCTATCTTCCAATTACTAGTCCGAAAACTGGTTAGCCTGTGCTATTTTTATCATTATCTACTGAGTAAAGCCAGTGATCAACAACCATTTTCGTTGTAAATGTACTTGCCGATGAATATTATCCAGACGTTTATCCCTCGTCGGTATAGGTAGAAATGACACCATGTAGCCATTCTAAAGGGCTACTATTTAGCAATTAGCCAGTGCGTCATGAATTTCAGTTTAATTTTTCAAGATAAAAATGTCCTGAATTGTGCTGAATTTAAGATTTTTAGTTTAAAATTTCAGAACAAAATAAGTACTGGCTAAACTCTAAATAGTATCCCTGAGAATGGCTATATGTGCACTTGCCCCTCGGTATTGTGAGATTCATCGTTATGGACCTAGTAGTTGGACCCATTTTAAGCCCAAACGTATTGGATTTCCTTCGATTGTTCATGTCAATCAAATGAATCGCAATCTCACTATTTTCCCTTTCTATCCTAAACGGTGAAGAAAGATTAAAAACTTTGTCTACTGTTTTTCCTTATCCAAAACGTCCATTGCTTCAAAATTAAATACGATCTCTTTTCATACCTCACAAGCAACAACTAATTTCAGGCTCCATTTGCAAGCCTCGCGAGTAATGAGAAAGATTCTCTAATGATGTTTAGTTTTGAAAAAAAATTCAGAAAAACTGAAAAACATAGAACTTTTTTTTGACAATTTTAAAATAAAAACCATCTAAGAAGTTGATCATAGGTGCCGATTAATTATTTTAGTTGATCAATTGGATATACATTCTCTGTATTATTGTGTATTCTACAAGTGTTACGAGAAATGTTTAAGAATGCATCCAAAGGAACACAACTGAAGTTCAAGTTTATAAGTTTTGGCTCCCGTTTGGACATATATTTGGCTATTTATTTTTTCAATTTGTTTTTGAAATTTGTTCATGAAACTAGATTAGTTTTTGAAAAAATGTTGAAGAAAAATTTTCAAGTTCCAAAAATTGATTTTGGACAATTTTTGGATTAAAATTTTCTTCCACTCACAAAATTTTAACACAACTTCAATTTCAAAAAATTATTTTCCAACACAACTTCAAATTTTTTTTTTCTATAAGTAAGATTTGAGTAGGGTAATAATTTAAGTAATAAAGATCTAAAATATATATTCTAACTTGACTTTTATTTACGGCTTAAATTTTTAAGGTCCGGAGGTTATAAATCGAAATAGATAATTCAACAACAACATTATGAAGTTACCAAGTCCTACTGTCTTAAAGAAAGAAAACAGGAAAAACTGGACAAAAAACAAAAAGAAAACAGAAGAAAGCTTGACCAAAACGTGCCATCTGTATACTGAACGTGTGCAGAGCCAATCCAGGTGTCATGTTCCTCCATTTCCACCGCATCTCCAAACCTTCACCACTTTCCATTTAAGCCCCCAAAAATTAATAGATCCTTTGTAAATTTCATCACCATTTTAGCACATATACATATACATAGAAAGAAACAGAGAAATAACGAACAATATGGCATTAGAATGGGTAGTTCTAGGCTACGCTGCGGCAGCAGAGGTGGTGATGGTAATCCTTTTAACACTTCCAGGTACATACCCTTTACGTAAAGGTCTAATATCCGTTACACGAAACCTTCTCAAGCCTTTTCTTTCAGTGGTTCCGTTCTGTGTCTTCTTGTTATTGGACATTTACTGGAAATACGAGACTCGTCCGAGGTGTAAATCGGCCGAGTCTTGTACCCCGACGGAGCTGATGCGACACCAGAAATCCGTCGTGAAAAGCCAGCGTAATGCGCTGTTGATTGCCGCTGCGCTGATGTTTTATTGGTTGCTTTACTCTGTGACGCGGTTGGTTACCCGAGTTGAAATGTTGAATCAGCGAGTTGAGAAGTTGCAGAATCAGGAATAACTCGATGACAAAATATTTTGTTTGGTTCCTTTGTAATAGTATGGAGTTCTTTCTTGATCCTTCTTCTTTTCCTTTTCCTTGTTTTAGTTATTCTCTTTTTTGGTAATGATTATGAGTGTATTATTAGTATTAGTTATTTAATATCTCAAACTTAGAACTTAATCAACTTAAGTAAACACAATATGTAAGTGTATATTTGAGAGATTCTACAAAGATCCTCGACCTTATTGAGACAGGTACAAATTACATTAGGTGCGATTCCAATATATGCGTAAGTGAAAAATTACGAAAATTTTACCTCCTTCGTACTATTTATTAGAAATCTAACATTATTTTAAAATATTATTATCAATAGTTACCTTTTATATTTTATAGCAAAATAAGTATTTATTATATACACTGTCATGTATGTATTTTCTCTCTCTTTCTTTCGGTTATTAACACGTGATGTCTCACAAATCACAACAAGATTTTTCTTCTTTCTCTATAATTGATCATCAACTTTTTTGCTCCAAAAGTTTTCATGGTAATTGGTAAAGCTTTTGGCCGGTTCACGTCAAATTTCTCCGCCTTTCTTCTTTTACTCTTCACTTTTTAAAAAAATTACCGAGGAAGAAACTTCAAATTTCGTCACTTTTTTAAAAAATTACCGAGGAAGAAACTTCAAATTTCATTTTCAATGGCTGATTCAACCACTTCGAAGAGAATTATGCGAGGTATACCTACTAAAGCACTCAATTTTGATCGCTGATGAGACTCGTCGGCGTCATTATCCACTATTAGCCACTAGTCTCGTCGGCGTCATTATCCACTATTAGCCACTATTAGCAGGTCGTCCACTATTAGTAGACTGGGAAAAGCCATCTCCGACGAATTTTTTTCTCGGTCTTTATTTTTTTAGTCACGTAATGATACAAATATATTGTATTTTGTATAAATATATTCAAATCCGAAGGTCTGTAATTTTTTAATATAATTGAATATCATTGTTTTGTGATTTTTTGTTGTTTGAATATAATCGAATTGAATACGGTGAATTGAATATAATGTATAATAGTGAATAATGAATATATGTGAATTAAATATAATATATACAATCGAATTGAATAAAATGGTATACGCCCTTTTTTTTATTGCTTCACTATATTTATAAATACAGTCGCGTAAATATATAAAATACAATACAGTATCAGCGAAATCTATGTAGAATTGATTTTGTTGAGTTAAATTAGGAGTGATTCACTCTAATTGATCTCTTTCCGTTATTAAACAACTGGATTCACCTATTTTTTAGGCAAATTTTGCTACTGTATTCATGAATACAATAGCGTCGAATACAATCGCACAGCTGGACACCCCCATTATTGTATTCATGAATACAATAGCGGGAACACAACGAACACAGTCGTGTAGCAGCGAAATTTATGTAGAATTGATTTTGTTAAGTTAAATTAGGTGTAATACACGCTAATTGATTCTCTTTCCGTTATTAAACAATTGAATTCCCCTATTTTTAGGTGAATTTCGCTATTGTATTCATGAATACAGTAGCGCTAATACAGTCCCATAGTTGGACTCTCCTATTTTTTAGGCGAATTCTGCTATTGTATTCATGAATACAGTAGCGCGCGAAGGTAGCAAATACAGTTGCGTAATAATTAAATAATAACTATAAAAAATAATTATGTATATAATAGCTATAAAAAGTTAATAGATATTAAACAATAGTGATTTATAAAAATTTCTCAAAAATTACATGTGGCCCAAAATAATTGAGCTCACGTCAAATGGNCTCCCCCCTCCCGAACCCAAATGGAAGCAAAAGGGGCAAAGTTCATAATTAGTCATCGAAATTATTTTTATTCGGTAGCTGAGAAAGCATATAAAATTTATATTATACGACATTTTCTAGGCCCGTCACCGATCAAAAGCACACATACTCTTTCAACTAGACTTTTTAATTTATACGCAGAGACACACACTAGCGAGAAAAATTGGTATAGAGCAACAAAGGTGTAATGACATGTTATACCACTTGACTTTCAAACCTGTCTCTACTCACGGAAGGGTTAAATAATTGTTTGTTCTATATATTTCTTCCATTTCAATTAATGTGAGTTTAACTGGTTGCAACATTTAAAAAATGAAAATTCTTAATTTGTGGTCTTATACGTTCATTACATTTGTTTGATGATGTACTTTAAAACTTGTAATTTTAAAAATATTATAGTAAAATAATATTTCATATTTAGAAAATTAGTGAAATGAACTAAAATGAAAAGGTTACCACTTAAATTGATGACCCGCATGCTTACTCGTAAAACGGTACAGTTGAATTTATTCGTGATTTTAGACAAGTGAACTAATTTGATCGTGAAATAATGCAATAATTGAAGAAATATACAATACTTATCCTTAAAATATAGATGAAACAACAGAGATGACAATTCTGGGAATAAAGTTTTCGGGCACAGCAATGATGAGATCAAAAAGCGGAAAAGTAAGATTGTATTAAGCTATGTATAGAATGTGGTGTAAGTCTAGCCAGAAAATTCTTGTCCTTTACAATGATAACTGGACTCACTAGTTATAGTTGCATCTAGGGAAGGAGGTCCTAGGATCGTGCCCTCCTTTAATGTCAATTATGAGGGTCATTGATGCAAATATAACGGTGAATATAAATGTCAAATTCTCTGTAACGGGTCGTTGCTCTTAATGCTGTAAAATATTCCTTATTAAATGCTACCGGGCGCAAAGCATTTAATACACCTTTATGAATGTTATCACTTCCGGTGACAAGCGGAATGGCTGCGTTCGGTGTTCGGCCATCCCCATCTAGGGTTCCACGTGTCCTTCCTTTAGATGACCACGTGTCATATCATATTTCACCATACATAGATAGTCCTCCTGCTTTCCGATGACATAACTTTGTGTTACAGGGAAGTTGGTAGAAACACTCTTTTTGGCGGAAATTACTATAATTCCCTCTGGAGGCTTCTGACGTTAGATTAGACGCACGTCTCTCCGCACTTAATACCCCGAACACGCGTCATCCCATGATTCAGCACAACCTTTGCCGATTATCGAGGTAATCGTGGCCATGAATTTAGCAGCCAAAATTTTACTTATACACATCATTCTTTTCCTTTGCACTTCATAATTTCTCGAACTTCTGATTTGAATCTTTGTTCTCCGTCATTTCTCTAATACTCATCAAACAAAACCTTTTCCTTTTTCTTATTTAGTGGCTTTTTCCTCCAAAGCGTGTCGGTTCTTCAAAGAACAAGAACAAAGCCGAGGACTCTGCTCCTCCAACGGTAGGTTCCATCATCCCAAGGAGACTTAGTACCACAAAGGATTTAGAAGAGAAATTTTCTACTGCTAACCCTCGTATATGGGCTGTTAGTAGGTACCCTTCTTACATTCGTTCTTCCAGTATTCATGCTGTGAAGGAAGACTGTCGCTGCCATGGGTTGGATATCATTGCTCCAGATCTATCGGAGCGAGTGACCCTTCCCAAGGAAGGTTTTACATACTTTTACACGTATCCCTTTACTTTGGGTGCGTTTTCTTTGAGTGGGGAGCTTGATTTCATGAATGCGGAGTTTTGCCTTCGCTACCAGGTGTGTTTGGCATAGGTAAGTCCTTTAGTGTGGAGAACGATCGCCTGCCTTCGACGCTTGTGCCAGAAAACTGGAGAGGAGCTAACCTTAGTTCATATGATGAATTTTTATTCTCCCAAAATCTTTTGGGTTGGGTTGGGGGGGAGGGGAGGGGGGGAATGATAAACCTCTGCAAGCGTGGCCACCATACTTTGCTGTCTAGCATGGATAATGACAACGACCGTGGGTGGATGGAACGGTTCGTTGCAGTCGCCACCAACGACATTATTCCGTCAACTGCTTCATCATTTCTGGCCACTTAGAACCGCACTCGTAAGCTCTTTGTTTAGTATTCCCTTTTAGTAAATATTTTTCTATAGCCGTATTGATCCCCCATTCCTTCATTTGTTTCAGCAACTCGATGGATCCCACCGGTGATGGAAGGCTTGGACCGGTGGGTTAAAAAGATCTTGGACGTCACTATGCCCAAAACTCGTTTGTGGAAAGAACTGGCCCTTAAATACGGATGCAAGGCTAAAAATCATGGTAATTTTAACTTACCTTGCTTCCATTGTTTTGGTATATGGAGAACTCGGTTGAACCCTTCTGACTTGTTCATGAAATTAAGTGTACCTGCAGGCTCTATTGTTGTCCCCGAGGAGGATGTCTTGGCTGATCCTGTTGATATAGCGAGGCTGCTTCATGAGGAACTTACTCGAACAGGTATCTCCAGGCCTGTTTTGGTAGCAAACACTTCTTTACATAGTCCCCATCCGGAGGATAAACAACCAAAGAGAAGAAGTTCCTCCGCAGACGGGGAAAAGAATAAGAGGGCAAAGATTGATGCCCCCGAGTCATCTCCGGTGGAGATAGTAACTGGTTCTCCTTCCGGGTAGGTCATAGACACTGTGATAATTGATGATGATGAAGAAGCTAGTGATGATGGAGCTTCTCTACATAGAAGACAACGATCCTCATCATCTCAACAAGATGTTCGACCCGTTGAGAGAGTTACACCAACCGAGGATGATGCCTCAGCACTTGTGGAGAGTTTGATTTGGTAGGTAATGTCAACTCCCATTTTCGGGCCCCAATTGTTGTGCCCGGTACTGCGGGGCTGAGTACCGGGTCCTTGCCGTCTTTGGTTGGCGAGCATCCAACAACCAGCACTGAATTTGATGCAGCTGCTTCTCACTCTTCAACTTCATCAACTTCATCTCCATCTTCACCAAGACCACCAACTGCTACATCACTTCTATCTTCATCCACTCTTCCACCAGCAGTTGCTACATCGCCTCCATCGGGCGTACCTGACCATGAAGAGGGTGTTACTCTTCCACAGTGCCCAGTTCATGGGAATTTGGGGCAAAATTATGCTGCCCCTTCTGATGATCCACAAAGAATGAGGAATGTTACTCTTTCGGTCTATACCGGATGCAACTTGCTATCCCCGGCCAGTGGAGCTTGCTAATTATTTGAAGCCTTTGGATTCAGAGAAAGACTGGAAAAAGATTCAGACACTCTCGGGAGAGTG